GTGACTCTTTCAGCTCCCCAGCGTGTTGGGGGGAATTAACCTGACTTTTTCTTGAGTGAGCGTGGGCAGCATCGTGATGCTGCTGCTGGCCAGGGTACCCAGCCATGGGAAGTCATGAGCCTCTCTGCATGGCATACACCGTGCTGTGGCTATGGCCATGCTACGGAGTTCTTAGAAAGAATTTATCAGGAGAGACTTTATAACAGTTTTCCAATACCTAAAGGGGCTGACAAGAAAGCTGGAGAGGGACTTTTGACAAGGGCCTGTACTGATAGGACAAGGGGAATGGCTTTAACCTGGCAGAGAGGAGACTGAGATGAGCTCTTAGGCAGAAGCTCTTCCCTGTGAGGGTGCTGAGGCGCTGGCACAGGGTGCCCAGAGAAGCTGTGGCTGCCCCATCCCTGGCAGTGTTCGAGGCCAGGTTGGACACAGGGGCTTGGAGCAAGCTGCTCTAGTGGAAGGTGTCCCTGCCCGTGGCAGGGGTTGGAACCGGATGAGCTTTAAAGTCCCTTCCTACCCAAGCCATTCTATGATTCTATGTGCTAATTGGGACTGGCCCAACTCCACATCCCTGCAGGGGATCTGGGTTTGGTCCCCTGTTTCTCCTGCCCAAATACTCAGGCAGCAGGAAGGGCAGATACAGGCCAGGCTTGACACAGAAGTCTGAAATCTGCTCCCATCCATCCTCCTGGGACAGAGGCTCTTTTCCCATGATGGAGCTGCATTTAACTCCTGCAGGACAGTTCTGCTGTGCTGCTCCGAAAGCTTGCTTTGGCCAGGGACCCTCCTCCAGGATTTTGCATTCCCCACGAGCGGGAGGTGCTCGTCCCTGGCATTGCTGGATCCATTATTCAGGATTAATGCCCATTTGCTTGTTGCACCTTCTGTTGTGGAAATAATGCTGCAGCTTTGACTTGCTTCCAGCAGGGCAATGGAGAAAGCAGAGTTAATACCGTGTCAGAGCAGAGAGGAGAGAGGAGCATTTTTCCTTGGGAGCAGTAATGTATGCAAGGAGCTTGTGTCACCTAAAGCCATTCAACATCGTGCGTCGCCTTCCTTGCTATTGCGTGTGAATTTAATAAAGTGGCTGTGACTCATTCGCTCTCGGTAGTGGAGCTGACATAAGTAAATACGCAGGCTGTAACCTCGCTGGAGGTTTTATACCATCTGTATTTACAATATGAATATTTCAGCGAATTTGACATTTTGGAGACTTCTGTCTCCCAGGTTTAGTGATGACGAGTATGTGGGTCAGGAGTGCTGCAGGTTCACAAGCAGCATCCTGTCAATAATTTAATGCTCCGAGTGCTAAGCAGCGCTAGCAGGACGCACGCCGGCACTGCAGGGTTTGTTGGCTCATTGAGCCAACACAGCTCTGAAGCAACATAAAAACAGTTTTTGATCTCTTGCTGCTGGCCTCTGCCTGAAAAGCATAAAGCAGGAGGCAACCCTGTGGCAGCTATTCTACTAATGTCACCGTAATATGGATGCTGTTTTACTGTCACTTCCAAGATGGAAACAGCAATACACAAGGCCAGATAGGACAAGGCATTTCTCAGCCTATTCCCCTGCTGTCCAGATACGTGATTGTGCAGGCTTCCAGCCACACAAACTCTCCCCCAGTTGCTGCCCAGACCTGACTGGAGCACAATGGGATTCCCATCTGCAGGGGCATCCCGAGGACTTCAGGAGGTTTAATCTCTGATTAGTTTAGGTGTTTTTTATCAACATAAGGTCAGAATCTCCAGTCACTGTGCCACTGGAAAGGGCAGGCAGGGTGCCCTGAGCATGGCAAGAACTGGGGTTCCTTCAGTGGGCTGTCACAGCAACACCCAACCTCCTCTGTCCCTCTGAGAACAGGCACAAGTCATCACACCTATGGGAAATGTCAGCATTTCCTGGAACGCTCCACCCAGAGCCTAGGGCACTAATTGTCCTAATGGCTGTGATGAGCCCCATCTGGGTCAAGCACCCACGGAGCCCATTTAAGCTCAGCTCTTCGGTACTTAGCTCTTGCCTGAGCTGTGCTGGAGCAGACTTAGGCCTCACAGACTCTGTGGATCCAGCCCCTAACTGGCTTGGCTTTGGCCCTGCATCGTCCCCATGGACATGATCTGACCTGTGGGTCAGCTTCCCAGCTTGGCGTGTCTCATCCCATGGACTTTCCAGATGGTTGGATGAGGACCTGACCCTGGCCATGGCCATCCCTGCCTGCCTCCTCTCTGGTATCTATGGGGGTCCCTGCCCCACTGCCTCAGCAGGGCCCCAGCATCTCTGTGTGTGCACGTGCTTGCCCAAGCACTTACTGCCCTGTTGCTACCCCGGGGTACAGGGACCTGCTCCCAACCCGAGCCCTGAGAAGATGCTTGTTGGTGCCTGTTGGCTGGCACAGCACCAAGGCTGATGCATGGGCTCTTCCCCTCCTTGGCGGGCAGAGTAGCACCGACAGGAGAAACAGAACAGCCAAGAAATGAAATACAGGACAAGTTACTGCAATAAATCCCATGGTTACCCAAGAGACAGAGGCAGCAGAGCGTCCTGCAGCACGGTATTTGACAGAGAAAGAAGAAACTGAACAGGTCTTCCTGTTAAACTCAGGTGAGGTTTTTTTCCTCTCTTATAAAACATTGTTCTTAAAATATTTACACTAAAAAAATGCACCACTTTCCATATGAAAGCTGTGCTTGGCACAAGCATCCTCTCAGCTAGAAAGGAGCTGGAAGAGCCCTTCTCTTTCCAATGTCAGCTCGTCATTGTGTTGTTGATGCACATTATACACCCTGAAAGCAAAGCTGCTCTGGCTTTGCATTGAGCCTCCCTTTGGTTAGCAAGAAAAGGATGATTTCGGCAGCAGGGGAGCGGTCCTGCTTCAGAAGTGTCTGTGCTCTCGGGATGTGCTTTGAGGGATCCACAGGCCTGTAATTCTGGAACAAAAACCTCAAAACTTACGTGGGAGTAAATGCAAAGCTGGAAAGAAAGCAAAGTGGGATGTCAAATTATGCATTCAAAGACTGGCTTCTCATTAGCGATGCTGGGTGATCTGTAGATTCTCCCATCACATGATACCCATCCTCCTGTACTTCCCAACATCGCAGAAATCCTTCTGAGGGAGCTGCATGATGTGCTTCTTTTTGTTTTATCTGCCCCTTTGTAAGGATCAAGTGTGTTTTTCTCAAGGGATCCTATAGATGTGATGCTTCTGGCACTGGTAAAGTTGGGAGGATGTTAAGCAGGTGCTGAGTGTGCAGTCTCTTCCCTGCAATAACTGTAGCTGCCTGCACAGGAGGCTTTGCCTGTGGTTGCACTGTGGTGCTTGGAACCTCCTGGAAGAGTCAGGGCTTCTGCTTCCACTGCTGGTCATGGTGGGTTTAGGTTTTAACATGAAGACCCCATTTCTGGTCCTGAGCCTCAGCTGTGTAATTCATCAGGGTGCTGTGATGCCCTTGGGGAGGTGACCTTGTGTTTGGGGACAGCCTGGCGAGGCTCCCGCTGTTCCTGCTGGCTCTTCATTAAGGATATTTGGATTGCAATTTTTCTGATCTCCCAGTGATGCTGTAATTGTCCAGTTATGACTGGCTTTGGCACCGTTATCCACACTGAGTCCTGTTAGACGGATGGGAAACTCACTGGGGTGCTAATGTGCACAAGCTGCAGTAGCCAAGGAGCCAAGCAACAGTGTCTAATGCTGCCAGCTGGCCTGGGAATTGCGACGAAGGGAGCCGACGTGCTCTTACCAGAGGGAATAGAGCCCTTGGTATTACCTGATGCTGTTATGGTCCTGCACACACTGTGATGGTGGGAAGCAGGGCAGGGAGGATGACTTGGGGCTGAAATGGGGGCATTAATCCTCTGGATGCAGCAGTTAAACCACTATGTTAACTGTTTCCTTTGGTTTAAAAGGAATGAAAGGTGCTGGCTGTGGCCCTGCTTTGGGGAGTTTGAAGACCAGATTTTGGGGATCCAAATGGAGAAGGGACACAGAAAAAGCCTTGCAAAGGCAGCTGAACTGTGACCGACTTCCCATTGCTGCCTGCCAACTGGTCACCTATTAACTCATTCCCTGGCATTCCTCTGGGCAAACACCCAGTCATCTGAATGCTATTTGCTGCCAGCGTGTTCCTAGGGCAGCAGCTTTGCAGCCCTGACAGACACCGTGGATTTTTCCCTGCACGTATCCGCAGGGAATGTCTTGGCACAGCAGCAAGCAGTGTGCCAGCCCAGGCCTGGGGCAGCACTGGGGGATGGCACTGGGACAGTGCCCACCCTGAAAGCAAGGCAAGCAGTAGCATTTCATCAGAGGAGATTTGCAAAGAAAACATTATTTCCTCAAATGTGTTCATCATTCAAAATTATTCAAGCAAAGGTTTCCATCTCGCTGTGGCTATTATTCATAATATGGGAATCTGGATGTGTGGCTCTCCTTGGTAATTAAGCTGCATGGAGGTTTTTTCTGCCCTCCATTTGGGTGGAACAGCAGCTGTACCTCAGCCCTGGGATTGTCTCTGTGGAACAAATAGGGCTGGTCCTGGCTGCAGGGCCTTGAAACAGGGATCGTGAATTCAGACTTGTGCTCTTAAATGGGGCTGGCATCCTGTGCACCTCAGGGCAGTGGCTCCCTGTGACTCAGGCAAGTGATGGGTGCTTTGGGCCCTGGTTTCCTTGTCCTGGGAGGGGGGGCTGCTGAAAGTCCCTCCTCCTGGACCACCTCCTCAGTTGAGGAATTCCTTGAACCCCTTTAGGAGGAGCAAGCTAAATGCCTGTCCTGATGGGAGCAGTTACTGGGCTCTATGTAAATCACAGTTCTCCCTAGCAGTGTCATATGTACATCATAACTGAAAGGGGGACTAAAATACAAATGTGAGGACTTACTTGTAGTAAATAGGTGTTATTTAATAACAACTGTAAGATAGGAAAGCAAACAGGAAATTAAAAAATAGTGGCTTTTCCAGATCACTTTTTCTGTTCCAGAGTGGATCCCTCAAACAAGAAGCTCGGAGCAATTTTCTGCAGAGGCTATTTTGATAACTTTCCAGGCGTTGCTCACTCATGACCCATGAGTGTAATGCTCCAGGTAGTGAATACACTTGCAAACAACATTTTCCTAAACACGTGTGGTGGGAATGGAGGAAGCTGGCTGCCAGCCAGAGCCGGCTCCCATGCAAGGTCCTGGAAACACACTTGCGGGCACCAGCAGGATGTTGACCTGTGTAAGTTCCTCCCCTGTTCTGGGGTGTCTGATGATCCCCTTGGGGAGAAGGGTCAGAAAACCAGGACCCTGCTTGCCTCTGTTCAACGCCCACCAGTCTCTGACCCCATCCACCTGTGGTAAGGATGCATCACTCTCGTACCCCACATCTGTGTGGTACCCTGGGAGGGACTTGCCCCAGTGTGTGAGCCTGCCAAAGCTGCGACATGGTGGTGGTTCCACCACTCCAGCTGTGTGCTTCTGACTGCAGCAAGCACACATGCAGGCTCATTCCTTTGGGGCTGCCATTAAGTCACTGACCCTGCAGACATTCTTCTAATTCAGAAGCTGGTTAAGCATGTGCTTGAGCCTGAGCACTTGCTTTTAGTGCTTCCCTGACCTAGAGCTAAGTGAGGAGCTGATAATACTAAATACAGCTTTGTCCTTTTGTATGCAGGCTCCTGAATGAGCTGCAGCATCTCCTGGGACTCAGAGCTGCAACACAAGCATGAGGGACCATGCATGGGAGTCATAGCTGCAATAGAAGCATGAGGGATTGAGCACTCTGCTGTAGGGCCATCCACACTTGAGGTCCAAGATGGTGCTCCTGGCCCCAGAGCACCTTGTCCACCAGGTAGGACAGAAACACTGATGAGGATGCACAGCTCAACGGGCAGGGCTATTTATTCTCTGTACTGATATCCCAGCTGGAAAAGCTTTCTCTGGGGCAGGCTGGAGCCCAGGGGAATGGGCAGTCCCTGCCTGTTCAAAAGGTCTGGGATCAGTGCGGGGGCCTTGACATGGGGTTTGCTATGATGGGAAATTAATGAACATTTTGTAAATGTGTTTTACAGACAGCTCTAAGTATGTGCTGAGCAATGCTTGTTCTGTCAAGAAACACTGGTTACAGGGTTATATCCAGGCCACTTAAATATTATGTTCCATAATATAATAAATAGTGGGGCTGAGCGTTGCAGCTTTGTGCTGTAAAGAGCCCTGTGTATGCTGCAATCCTGCATTGGCAAGGTAAAAACTTGCCGCTATTATAGAAGTGGAGGTTTAGCCCTGCTGTTGTTGATCTGCTAGGGCAGTGCTGTGCCCCGGGCACTGGGGACTGCTGAGGACACAAGGATGGAGGGTCACAGGGTTTCTGGCAGATCTTGCCTGAGTATTGCTAGAAACAAAACCACACAGAGCCTTCTCAGGGAGCGATGCATATGGGCAGCCACACCTTTTCCACTTAGAGGTACCTAAATTAAGGGAGATACAAGGCCCTTCTCATTCCTTTTAGGAAAGCCAAGATTTAGAACAGGAATATAGAAGGGAAATTGTAGCTGTAAAGAGACATTCTGGTGCACTAAGAGGTAGCTTAACGAAAAGCCAGGCAGTAGCTGAGCCTCCACCTGCAGCAGCTCCAGCATGAAATTAAACTCTGGGCTGATTTTTCTCTAAAGGCAGGCGTGGAAAAAATGGTACGTGCAGCAGTATTTCATTGCTACATGAAATGTGGTGACAGAGAGGAATTCCTGCAACATAAATGGATTTAAACAACAAGGGCTTGAGCTGACAGTCAGGATGAGGATACAGGATCCTTTGTGGGTTGTCCCCCGGGATCCTATTTGGTGGTGAAGCCTGACCAGTGCCTGCAAGGAGTTCCTGCTCCACACAGAGCTGGGCCAGTGTCCCCTGCACCAGCCCTCAGTGCTGCACACCCCATTCTGGCATCAGTGCAGCACCATCTATGCTGTGCCTTACCAAGTGAGCTGGGAGCAGCGCATCACAGGCTGTGCCACAGACTGTGCTTATAGTAAATGAGGAGTCTACATTTTATTCTGCACTGTGCTGCTCTTCAGAGGTGTTATCTGGGAATGGACAGTTTTTACTGTTACAGGAAGCTTGAAATGTAAAGAGGCTGGTGGGGCTCAACTGCAATCGTTTCTCTCAGTCCAGTCTCTCACCTAGGAGCAGATTTAGCAGCTCCCCTGTGGTATGTGGGAGACACCACGATACTGACTCTGTTTTCTGTTCTGGAGGATGTGAATCCTAGTGTCCAGCTACTCGGCGATGAGGGAGCTGTGTTCATTCAGCCACAGCTCCAGCACTGCGGCCAAGAGTGACCGAAATTCCTCTTATTCAGTGTCCTGAAAACAAGACACTGGCTCAAACTGGACAGTGTGTAAGTGACTGCCAAACTCATAAGAAAATACATGCTCTCAGTAAATAAATGCATTTTGAAGAAGCTTTATGGAAAATATTCAGAGGAAAATGTTATACTTGCAAACACTTACGCTTTTGAGTAACTTTACATTGGTAGATTAACCAACTCCAGTTCAGTTATTCATGTATCTAATACCAAGTGCACAAGTATTTGCTGATTCAGAGCCTGTGCTTATGCTCTGTGAACGATGATGATGGTGCCTTTCCCCAGCCTCTGAACTCTGACAAGGCTTAAAGGTCTCTGCAGGCAGAAGGGCTGGGAGTTTGCCCTGAGCTGTGCAAGTCTATGAAGCTTTCTCAAGCAGCTTCTCGGAGGGTAAAACTGGAGCAGCAGCTAAACTGTGCTGGCAAGTGACTGTCTCCTTGGAAAAAGTGTTATTACAGATCATGCCACAGACACGTTGGGATATATGTTTGCAGTGAATCTTAGAATATTTGGTGGATACTAAGCAGCAATTAGAGTCTTCCTTTGGAATCAATTCATTTCCTACTGCCATGGTAGCAGGGAGGATCTTATTGAAACTCTAGGATTTTTAATATTATTACACTAAAGACTCTCTCAGTATCAGCATCTCCGTGGGGGAGCATTAGCACACTGTAATGTGTAACACCATCTCCAGTTCAGGAAATCTTGTTGTATTTCTAATAGGGCATGTGGGGCATATATTATGTATGGGACATATATTTCTCATTTCCACCAGGCATCATCCTTCCTTCTCTCTAAATTACTCTCCAAATAAAAAAAAAAAAGCATTGTATTCCTTATTGCTCAAAATACATATTTTTTTTTTAATCTTTAGACCCAGAAGCCACTACCAGCCATCAGGGCTGTATGCGCTAGAAGCCAGAAAGCCTTGGTCGAGTGGTAGGGAACAGAACTGTAGTTAAAAATACCCAGTTATCACCATGGCTCAACAAGCACCAGTCTAAAATGGTTTACTGGAGAGAACCACCAGCCAGAACAGGTTTGGCCTCAACCCAGAGCTGCATCCAGGAGTAAACGGGATACCAAGATCCTGCTGCTGCAGGACACTTTGCTTTATGGACAGGAGTACAAAACCACTAATGTGCCTGTTGCTCTCCAGGCAAGCCTCTCAAACACACACTAATCAAAGCTTATAGTGTTTCTCTTGGTAGTAAGTCTAACCACACCAGAATGAAGAGCAAGGAGCTGGAACAACAGAAGGGCTGCTTGTTCAACCGCTCCTCTCAGCTCAGCCTGGCTAAAGGGAGGTAGATAAAGAGTCCAGCTAAGGTGGAAGAAGTAAACAGTCATCCTGGTAGGAAAAGAACAGGTTGAAGAGAGCTCCTCAAATGATGAGCAAATCTGAACAAAAAGATATGGGAGAGGGTGAGGAAATCTGTGAGTTAGTGGTGTAAAGGCAGAATATCAGGAAAGGAATCACCCTGTAACCACAAAGACGGATGCTCCATTAAATGTACCTTCAGGTGGCACCTGATTTTGTTAAGGCAAAAGAGGACAACTGGGAGGAAATTTGGGTGACATCTGAGTGAGATCTTTCTCATCTTATAAATCAGAGGCCACATTTCCAGCACAGAGGAAAACGTGGCTCTGAGCAGGCAGCATATCAAGGAACACAGAGGAAACCAGCTCCAGAAGGGACCTAGGAGACTGTCTTGCCTGGTGCCTGCCTCGAGGGGATAACTGAGTGATGTCAGATAAGTGCTTTCAAGGTGACCAGTGAGATAAAGACTCCCCAAGCTGTTTGACTGTCTTTGCTATACTGAAGTTTTTCACCATATCTTTGCAGGATCTCTTGCTGTACTTCACACCCATCACCTCTTAGTCTGTCAAGGATTGAAGGCTACTGACCTCCCCTTTAATTTACCTACAAACTAAGGTGTTTTCCTCCCTCCTTTATTTCATTCTTCACCCCAGGATTTTTTTCTTTTTCTTTAGATTAGTAGCTCTTTCAGTCCTGCATCAAAGACCATTGGTATCAACCCCTACACCACTCTTGCTGCTTTCCAGCTTATTGCTGATGACCTTCCTTCAGTAAGGTGCTCAAAACTAAACGCAGGGCAGCTGGAGGATTAGTTCCTGTGGTGATGGCAACAGGCCATGCTACTGTTCCACGTTGTGATTTGCATCATCTGCTGATTTAATAAGTACATTCTCAATTTCATCACTGCCATAACCTTCAGCAGAACCAGACCACTGCAGACTTTCAGGTCAGGATGGGTTCTGTGCTGCAAGTGGACCCAGCCAGCCCGGCCAACCCTTGACCTCTGCACCATGTATGTTTAGTTTGTTTTTCAGGCCGTGGCAAGAGGAAGTGTCAAACACCTGACTGAACTCAAGGCAGCTCCCAAAACTGCTTATCCCCCAACCCCAGGGACTGTGCTCTCAAGAATAAAACTGGCTTTGTTTGACACAATTCACCCTTCCCCAGTCCACGGCACCTGGTGCTTGTCTCCTACATGCCATTTGTTTCAGAAGGAACGAGGTGCTGTTGGTTAAATTGCAATTATCCAGCTCTTTCCCACCTTCCAGAGGCTCCCGGCTGGGGCGGGCCAAGCACCTGAGCGCTCCCCACCCAGGCGGAGGGCAGCGGGGGAGCCCTTGTCCGCACGGGGGGTGGATTCTTGTGGCCGGCGCCGCTCTCCGAGCCCTGTGCCCCGGCTTGGGCAGAACCGGAGGTGGGCAGAGCTCTGGGGGCCGAGGGGTGGCAGTGGGGCCCCAGGGCCCCGCCGTGGGTGGGGCGGGTGCCAGTGCCGGCCGGCGGGGCCGGTTCCGCGGTGGGCCGGGCCCTCGCCGCGGCGGTGGGAGGCAGCTGCGCGGCCGCACGGTGAGTGCCCCGGGGCCGGGCCGCGGGGGTCGCGGTACGGGGCGGGCTCTGGGCCCTGCGCGCCGCGGTCCGGTCGCGGGTGGGCGGGAGCCTGCGCGGCGGCGGCAGCAGCGGCGGTGGGGGGAGCCCGGCTGCGCTGTGTTGCGCTGCTGCGGCCCCGGAGCGCCCCGGGCCCCGGCACAACGCGCCCCACCGGGTGAGGCTCCGCGCGGGGCCGGGCCGCGGCCTGCCCGCCGCTCCCCGCCCCGCTCCGCCCGGGCCCGCAGGCCGCTCCCCCGCCGGCGCCGCTCCTCCCGCCGGGCCGCGCCGCGCCGGCTCCGCCGGGCGATGAGGAGCTGCTTCTGCCTGCGACGGGGGAGCCGCGACCCGCCGCCCGCCGCACGGGCAACAGTTAAGTGTCCCCGCACCCGCCGCGGACCCCCGGCGAGGCCCGGCCCGGTGCGGTCGCCCCGCTCGGGGGCCGGGCCCGGTGGGTGCTCGGGGGTCCGGCGGGGGCTGCGCGTCTGAGAGGGGGGCCCGGCCCTGCGGGGCACGGCGGCGGGAGCGCTTGCACGGCCGGAGCTCCGGGCGAGGCGGGCGGACCGGGATCCCCGCCCGGCCGGGGCGGGCGCAGGGCCCGGTGTGCGGGCCGGGATGCTCGGTTGCCCGCTGAGGAGGGGCAGGTGGGGGCTCCCCGCGCTCGGGCAGCGGCCTTGCCGGTGCCTGCGTACCGAGTAGACCGAGGCTTCGTTGAGCCCTGGTCGTGTCCTGAGCTCCCCGGTGACCCCATGCAAGACCAAAGCGCTCTGCTGTCGCTGGCAGGGATCGGCGGTGGGGTAAAGCCCTGGTGACCTTGACCTGCTCAGGAGTTACTGCAGATGTCATTAGTGACTGGTTGGAGACAATAGCAAACCCCTGTCTTTTGTGTGGTCTTTAGCAGCAAGCGTTTACAGCGTGGGTTTACATGACTACCCATTTTTCTCCCCTGCTCTCATGTTTCTGCTCTCTGGAGGTGATAATGTGGGCTCTTCTCTTTACAGCACTGGCCAGAGCAGCGATAACTGGGTTGCCTGTGTTTCATGTACTCACCTCTTGCATTACTGAGACTCCTGAGCTTCCACTGTGGTTTCTGGGAAGGTTCTCAAAGACCTACCAGGCTTCAGTGTTTTTTGTGCTTGGTCACGGTAATGCAAGATGAGGCCTTCAGCTGAAACAAGACAGGCTGGGCCTCAGCAGGTGTTCAGCTGGTTGGGCTGAAACTTAGGTTTCTCCATCTTGTGTTTTATTTTAGCTGCATGAGAACATACTAACATATACCTTAATGCATCGTGGAGCAGGTTGGCAGTGTCATCCCGGTAATTTTTAGCTGAGGTAGCCTTACCCGCTACATTTTCTCATCATGCTGGGATGAAGGCTTAGTTTGAGCTTCTGGAGGTGTGAAATAAAACACACAATGCTTCAGTCTTGGACTGCATGCTGCTCTGACAAAATGAATCCCAGGCCCAAGGGTTGTTGTAGCCCCCAGGGACCACATAGCTCATACATGTGCCAAAATAGAAGTAACTGAACTGCATGTTGCTTAAATTTTGATGGGTTGGATGTGTATGGAAGCCTATTTTGGTTTGAAATAGGATGCTCTTCACAGATGTGTGTCCATAGTTAGACGTGCTGTGAAGCAATGCAAGATCTCAGTTTTGCTCATTCCATGACTTAAGTTCCTGTTTCCATCCAGGTCAGTTAAACTGTAGAGTTTGCAGCTGAGACAGGGCAGCTGTCTCGAAGATGGGAGCCTGGGTGTGGGGGTGATTCCAGACATACCTTTATTTGGGGAGAAACATGAAACTGAAATTCTGCCTGCTTGTGCTGGAGGCCCCCAGGGCCCTGACCCCTTGTCCTGTCATGGTCTCCTGTTTTCTGATTGAAACTGTGTCCTATTCCATGAACAGAAATAGAAAACTGGCTCGGCTGTGTCCTGTTCCCGGACGCAGTGGGAGGACCGGGCGTGCAGAGGAGAATGGCAGTGTAACTTCGGAGCAATGTGTGTCATGCCAGCAGTACCTACTGCCTTTATAAAGTGATGGAGTGATAGCCCAAGCATGCGAGCGAGGGTTTTAGCAACGTGTCGGCTTTGCTTTGATGGGGTTATTTCCTGCAGGGTGCAGGAACTCAGTGAGGTAGTTGGTAATTTTTTTCCAGTTTTGGCTTAGCTCATACTTTTCTGCCTGTAGGAAGAACAAGTCAGTGTCAAAGTGCAGGGCTTGTAGTAGAAGGAAGAAACAATAAGCCCATTCTCTCCATGTCCCTTGCTATTTAGCTTCAGAACTTGACCCGCTTTGCTGGCAGCGTGATGCTTCTGTAGCAAATACATCATCAGGCCTGATTTGATCATGTACCCACCAGCTCTTGAACTTGCCTAACTTGTTGAAAAGGAATGCCGAGGGGGAAAAATGTTCTACAAACCCAATAATACATTCATTTCTGAAAATGTATTCCTTTGTTATAGATAGCCCGAGCCAAAGCACAGCAGCGTGTGTGGTCAGTCACCTCAGTGGAATATTTGAAATGGACAGTGGAACCAGCAGAAAAGTATGCCTAGGATAAACACATAAAAGCAGAGATGAGCTAGCGAGAAAACGGGTGAGAGCAAGTGAGAAGGACGCAGTCTTGGGAGTGCTGTGAGAAGGGGAGGTGTGTGTGACTGTGGGCATGGGCTGCAGGACAGCACTCTGTGGGGTGATGAGCTGCCCCCAGCTTTGCTGTCTCCAAAGGGTACAAGGCTTGGGGTGCTGAGGCAGCTACAAGGAGCTGTGCTGCCAGTTGGCACAGGGCTTTGTACTGCCAGGGCAGCACGGGCCCTGTGTTACACGTCTCCTAGGGAGCAGACACGCTGTGCCTGTTGGAAGTAGGTACTTCCCAGCGGGAGGAGTCGGAGTGGAGCACTGGTGAGCGTTGTGTGGTGACAGGTTAAACCGAGACCTTGGCTGGGCTGCACACATATGGCTTCCTGACTAAATGTCACTGCCTGATGCATGCACTTCCTCTGCTCTTCTTCCCTGCCTGTACCTGGTAGCTTGCTCTGAAGGCTGTCACCATCTGGGGTTGGGGAATGGCAGGATGAGGGAGTAGGATGGGGACTGTGCCTCATACCTGCAGAGGTTGGGGCTGGTCTGTGTCTGGCCATACCTGGGTTGGTGCCACACAGAGCAAGTGGTGCCCCATACTCTGGGCAGGAAGAGGCAAAGACAATAAAGCAGGGCCTTGGCTGAGGCAGAGGCTCTGAAGGTCTCTCCTACAGCTGGGCATCAAGATCCCCAGTCTTCTGCTTTGTCTCCTGCTTCACAGCATGGCCAGTTCAAGGGGGACAGAAGGCATTTGGGATAAAGCCAGCAGTGTGGTGGCTGCGTGTCAAGCCATATGTTCTCTGCATCTTGTCCTGCAGCCATCCCACTCCACTCTGCTGTGCATTGCTCAGGACTGGTGCTGGCAGGATGCACAGTGACTTTCTCTGGTGGAGCCACATCCTTTCCCTGCTGGCTTTGTCTGAGTGGCCCCGCAGACTTCTTCCTGCATCAGAGCCTGCATCCGGTTTTCCTTTGCTGGATGTGGCCCTGCAGTTGGGAATCATTTCCAGGGAGCATGCTCCCAACTGGTGGGAAAAATGTTCTAATTGTTTTGGGCTGCTCCCAGAATAACCCCACAGAGCAGAGCGGCACAGGGCCCTTCAGCAGAGCTCGGCTGAGCACAGGATGGACACAGGCCATCTCCTGGTCAGCTGGTTTGAGTTTTCAGCCACCATGATGTTAGTTGGGTGTATAGGTCAAACTTGTGTTGTTTAAAGAGAGCTTCATTAAAATAACAAGCTGTCTAATAGGAGTATTTCTAGAATCCTGCTCCTTAATTTAATCTTTTCTCTCACTGTTTGCTTTTTGGTTCTAAGTTCAAAGGCATGATAGAAAAGAAACCAAACTTTGCAGGCGCCCTGGGGGAGTAGGGCAATGTAACTAATCATCTGTATGATTGCCCAGCCATAGACTCCCCTCTGACCTGTGCAGAGTTCACAAAAACATTTACCCGAGTGTGCAAACCGATTGCTGCTGCTCCATATCTGTTCCAGATGCATCCTCCATGCCACCCGCACAGCAGGAAGCTGCTGGAGAGCCTTGCTGTGCTGTGGTGGCCAGACAGGGGCCCAGCCGTCTTTGAGTGCTGCAGAGCAGGGTGCTCTGCACTGCCTGGAGACCTGGAGGTTTGTTTTGTGTGCACATGCTCTCTGCCTGCCCGTCCTGTCTGGCCATGGGCACAGCCAAGGCCTGAGCATGAGGCAGAAGAGGGTGCCAGGCTCACTGGGCACAGCGGTGGTGGCTGTGGGGAACTCAGCCCTTGCTGAAGTGGGGTGCTGCTCCAGGCCCTGCACCAGTGCTGCATTGTGTCTTGCCCCACGGCTTCCACCTGCCGGCCTCTCAAGGCAGAAAGCCCCATTCTCCATGCTTGGCCGCTGCCGCTGCCATAGAGAGGCTTTGTGTGAGCCAGCACAAAGTGAGGATTGATGCTAATTTCTCCTTCTCCTGCTGCACCGAGCGGGACTGCAGACGGCCCCCACAGATGTTCCCCTTTCCTCCTGCTGAGGTCAGGGTGCTTTGGGGCTGCAGGTAAACCTTTCCCAGGTCAGCACTGCTGCAGCTCAGGATCCTACCAGGGAAGTCAGTGTTCAGCAGCATAAGCCCCATCCTTGCCATCACTGCTGTGGAAGAGGAGGGAGTACCGGATGCTCTGTGCATGCCTGGGCTCTCCCAGGGCTTGAGAGAGGGGGCACAGCCCCCCTGCTTCCCACCCTGAGGTGTCAGTGCCATCCCAGCTGCCCCTGCTTCACTCGCTTCTGCAGAGCAAGCCAGTGCTTGGTCAGGGTGGGTTTGCTGGAGGCTGGAGGAGCAGATCTGCTTCCTTGCCGCCATGCTGGAACCTGCCTTGTGGTGTTCTTAGTGTGCTGGGGAATATCGTCACTTACCTGGATTTCAGTTCAAAATGGCTTAAGAGAAGCTCCTATCAGCATTCATTATCTCCCAGCTCCTCCCAATGTGTAATAACAAGTCATCACATTACTGAGAGTGACTTGGAAAAGGTTCAGAAAATGTGTGTCTGTATGAAGAACAGATTGTAAGTTCTTTGTCAAGTTCACATTATGTTTGCTCGGTGCTTCACGTTTTAGGCAGTGGGTTCTGGATTTGCAAGGCATCTGGATGAGCCGGTGGAGCAGCACAGGCAGATCTTTCCACTGGGTTTGGTTCATCAGCAATAGTGTTTTGCCATTACCAGTTCCTAGCTTCTGTTTTGGACTCCTCAGGTAGTCTGGCTGTTCGTGTGACATTATTATTATTTACCTAGGGCCCAGACTTGATCTTTCTTATTGCCTGCAGCACGATGTTTGTTCTGACTGGGCACTGTGAAGTGTAAACCCAGGTCCCACTGGCACCAGCACTCACCTCTGCCTTTTCTAGAAGCAGTAAGTAACCAGCTGTCTACATGGCCTCGAAATGCTGGGGTTTAATTGCTCTGAGGAGGGAATTGAATTAGGTAGCTCTGGTTCACGGCTTGTCTGGCTGCCCAGCAGTGACGCTTGTTTACACAAAACACTGCCCTTTTATCTTGGGGTTCCCGGGGGGGGGAGGGGGGGGGGCTGGTTTCCTGGGGCATTCCTGCCTGAAAGCTGGAGAAGACTTGCCCTGACTGGCTGCCTCTGCAGGAGACCACGTGCTGAGGCAGTGGCACCTTTCCCTACCCTCCTCAACAAGTTGTTTCAGCAGCTCTCTTGTCTTCTCCTGCTTCCTGCAACAGCATCTCTCCAGAATCGGTTGGTCTTACCTGCTTCTATCCCCTGTTGCGTATCTCCTTCCTGTGAAGTACTTGGTGATGTGTCCCTTCTCCTGGAAGATGCTCAGGCCTCTTCAAGGCCTCTTTCTGCTTTGCATCAGACCACCCCGTGCTGCTTCATCTGTGTTCCCTGGTGTTGAGGCTCTCTGCAGCAAGTGCAGTTCTGCGTACAGCGCCAGATACATCTGTGCTGCTACATTATAATGGTCTGGTTCAGGAGGGTGCGTGGGATTGAAGACTTGTGGGGGAACCCCCAGTGTGTGTAACACGTGTAGTGGATGGGGACCCTCCCAATCAAGCCATTAAGAGCAGATTTCTTGCTGCTTGAAATAGCAGAGCTGCTTCATCTGGGATGAAATTTGCCCTCTGTTTGGAAGGGAAGGGAATGAGCTCGGGTTTTCCCATCATTGCTAGATGGAGACCAGCCCATGCTAAGCATCCTGGAAGCACCAAAATTGATCTCAGAAGAGGCTGCAGGCCCAAATTCCAAACCTATTGGGCATTGCACAAATGTACCCTCTTATCAAAAGCAAATGAAAGTGCAGAAGGTGTGTCTGGCCTAATCCCTTGTTTAACTTGGCAGTCTGTGGTGTGTCAGCACAGGCACTGTGGCATGCATGCAGGCTCTCTCGGTGCTCTCTGTCTTCTGCTGGGGTGTTCTGATGAGCAGCCCTTTAATTCTCCTACTTTCTTTCAGGATCAGTCCATAATGCCTGAAGTGCGAGACCTCTCCGATGCCTTGCCCGACTTGCCGATGGATCCCATCACCGGTGTTGGTGTGGTTGCATCCCGGAACCGAGCACCTACAGATTATGATGTAGTAAGTAGAGCTGTTTCAGCTGCCATTGCTAATACTTTGGCTCTACATTAATGAGGCTTTACTTTGCTGGGATCAGCATCTCTTCCAGAGAGAGCTTGCCTTCAGATGTGTCCTTTAAGAAGTAATTTGAGGTCCAGCTGCCCACCTCTCAGCCCACAGCACTTAGTGCTTTCCCTTGGTGGAGGTTTGTGGGTGCAATCGTGCTACTTCATCTGTGCCACTCCAGAGGAGCATAATTACCTGGAGGATGGGTTTTCAGAAACAGCTGGCCACTGTGGCATGCAAATTTAATAATCCTAGTAACATTCATCCTGAAGGAGTCTTAAGTATTGCAGAAATTATATCTCTGGGTAAATGGATCCCACATCAGCTGTTTAATCCTACATATCAGCACTGCACAATGATGATGAGAAGCTCCAGAATGGGAAGCAAAGAGTTTCACATCCAGCTGAAATTGCAGGGATAATTTTGATGGACAGAATGCAAACCTCTAAACTAAGTTTTGGCAGGATGTTGGGCAGCAGGAAAAGGCAGCTGGATACAGCAGAGATGAGTATGTGAATGCATAAAGGGAGGTCACGTTTAACAGCTGCTTATTCCATGGATTAGTTGCTGTGTAACAAACAGCATGTTTTTTCTTCTCATAGATTAGTGTGTCCCAAGCAGTGAAATACCTTAAAATACTGACCTTGTGGAGCTCTATATGGAAATGTTTGGCCTGCAGTCATTCTGCTCACTGTTGTGTGTATCCAGCTCTGACTGTGCTACATCCACCTTGGGTTTCCAGAGTTGCACGGCTTGTGTGGTTGGGAGTGGAATCCAGTTGACTTGAGGTTTTGCTCAACCTTTTCAGCTCTGGATCATTGCATACCCAGTTCAGTGTGAGAAAGAAGAAAATGGATCAGGCTGAAGTAGGGGCACAAGGGAGGGAATTGTGAAAAGGCTGCTTAAAAGACCTGGAAGGTTTTTTGCATTTACTGCATTTTTCTGAGTGCTCATTACCTGTGTGAGCCAGGCTGTGTAATTAGCTGCTTACCCTGATAAAGGAGCATGGGACAATGTGAGAGTTGTGATAACAGAATTGCATTCTGCTTAAACGACTGGGCAGAGAGTGCGCTCACCCCAGATAGCCTGTCTGTGCTTTAATAGGGAGCTCCAGCACTAACGCAGTTTAAGCAAGATAAAAGAGTCTTCATGTGGCTTAATCCAATTACAGTGGTGTTGTAATAATGCTTGCGAATGTGGGTCGCTCTCTCCTGGGGGGTACAGAGAGGAGGCTGCCTTTCTTCTGGTTCTTCTGCCTTCCTCTCTGTTTACAAGGAGCTCTCCTCTGACCTTGGGGCCAGCATTCTCTGCTGCAGGCCGTGGGGAAGTGCCTGCTGTCTGCAGCTGTTTTACCCTAAGCGCAGCTTTCACACACTTCAGCTGTGTATGGCACATCAGCAGTCCAGCTCCAGCCATGGTCAGTATCTTTTTCACTGTAGCTGCTCAGGGTGCCACCCTGATGTAACAGGGTGTCCTGGTGCACAGACCCAAAGGATAGTGGCATGCAGGGCTACTTTTCTTGCCTGGATGTCTGGTAAGGTGGCTCCTCTGTATGAGTCTGGGCTCTGGACCACTGTGTGGTATGCAGGGTTGTCACTTCCCTGTGACCTCTGTGGAGCTCAAGTCTGCTATGCCTAAAGGCATGAAGCCCAGTATGCAGAAGTGCCCTTCTCAGTGCAGTGGAGACAGTCATGCTCTGAGATGTGGGAAACGTGAGGACTTGGGCGGTCTTGGGCTGTGTTTCCTCTTCTATTTCCCTAATGAGACACCAACAGCTGATTATTACTTCAGGGTGTAAAGCTTTGATGAAGGCAGCTGTGGCAGCTCTATCCTGAAAGTGTACTCCTGAAATCCCTGTTTCTCTCGGGATGTTGTAGGGATCTGATGGCGCTGCGTTTTGCTCCAGTATCCTGCAGCATTCAGTTCTACAGGTGGATTCAGAGTTACATGGGAAAGTATTTCCTTTTATTAGTGGTGAATTTGAGATCATGTAGTTTCACTAATAATTTTGAGTTGTGTGATGGTGAAACATCCAGTTCTCTCTGAGACTGTGATGTTATTTATAGGCTTTGCCCAAATTCCTCTTTATTCATAACCTTTCTCTAGCAACCAGCCATTGGCACACTCTTTTCCTTCCTTTTTCCCTTGCTTCTCTTTAAAACAAACCAAGCAAAGGCATGGGTGCTTTCAGGCCAGGTGTAAGTTAAATGCCCTGGGGATGTCCCTGTCTGTTTCCCAGGTTCACATGGAGCCCAGGTCCAAGCATCCTGCCCAGCTGGAGGTGGCAGTGTGGCAGAGCCCAGGGGACCAGACCCAGGGGAAGCTTGGCAAACGGTCAGAGATCTTTTCCCTCAGTAGTTTAATTAGAAACCTCCATTGCCATAGTGTCTGTTTAGAAAACAACTTGTCTTGACTAGCCAGGTATTTTAACAGCTGAAGCACCAAAGACTTGATTTTGCCAAAATATACAGCGTGTTTGAAGTTAGATTCCTGAAAATCTGCCCAAACTGGCAAGACTGACCGTATGGGTGGGGAGGAAAGGGAGGAGAGGTGGGAGCCTGGGGTAGGAGAGAGGTGTGGTTCCTGAGCAACCACACTGCTTGCTGTAGGCTGAATGTCAGCTCCATGTGGGGTTTGCTCTGGGGCGAGAGCCTGAGCATGCTGCTCACCCAGGGCGGTGTTGGAGCAGGGATGGTTCTGCACTATTGGTGTTTGTAGCACATGCTTGAGGAGTGGCTTTGTCAGCTCCAAAGAAGGACCTGGGTCACTGGGACCTGGTGCTGGGTGCCATGTCCTCCATCCCATGTTACTTGTCTCTTAGCCAAGCAGAGCACTTGATGAGCTGGGGCTGCACAGGATAGACAGGTCTGCCTTGGCCTTTCCAGGCCAGCTGCCCTCCTGTGTTGCCCCACTGAGGGCACTCTGCCATTGCGAAGCAGCACTGCTCAGGCAGAGTTCTGCTTCAGGAGGTGGTGGGGATCCTCCTTGCCTGCAGGAGCCCAGCAGATGATGTAAGATGTTTCCTGTTTATATTGCACTGTTTTCTTTCCCCACGAGTTTTCTGACAAGTTAATGCATGCTTATGTTCCCCGGGCTTGGAAGAAGACTTCAGCAGGAAGATGTGCAGGCAGGGTGCTCGGGGTTAATGTCACCTGTGACTTCCATTTCAGCAGAAGCAGAAATGGTTTCTAAAAACAGTTTCTAAACAGGGCTGGAGTCCAAGTGAAGGGTCCCTGCATGCCAACAGTTTTTCCAAGCAGTCTGTTGCCTGAATATGTTTTCACCAGGCCAGACTTAACCATAGGGGAAGGAGATGTGCATGGATTTTGTTATGTTCCTAAAGCAGCACTTTAGGAAACAGTTGAATTCAGGGAATAATAAAGCAGCAAAAAAAATCCACCAAAATCCTGTTTTCAGATTTTACTATTTAAAAATGATGCCTGTTTCTTTGCAGAAACCTGACTGCAAAAGCTGTGTCTTGCAAGAGCTTGAGCTGAGCAGGGGCTTGTGAAACAGCAGTTGCTGAAACGCGAAGAGCAGCCAATGCACTTTGCTCCCTTTGAACAGACAATAAACAGGCTTTTCTCTCCTGTACTTGGGATAATTGGAGGGTCTTGTCAGCACGCATCTCTTGCTTCCTGTGCCCTGCACAGAGTCTCTCTTCAGCAAAACATGGGTGCAAACAGTGACAACAAATGTCAGCTCTTTGTTATCTGGCTGCTCTGGGGCCAAGGTCTTACTCAATAAGATTAGACTTGGAAGAGCTGCAATGGAACGGTTTGCCCCCATCTGAGAAGCATTAGGCAGAAGTTCAGCTGTGCTTCTGGAGTCTTCTGTTGGGAGCTATCAGTCAGGCGTTAGTCTGGTGGGGTGATCTTATTTCTGTTACCTTTGTGTGTGCTGCTTTGTGTTCTCTCTTATTTGACAACAAACCTTCAGTGGCAGGGGCTCTTACCAGCTTCTGGTGCAGGGTGAGTGCCCAGCTGCTAGTAGAGCAGAGTCCTTTCCCTGGGCATGATGCTGCCTCGTGTTGAATCAGCTCAAAGGTGAAATCTTCTGCTTTTCTCTTCTTGCATGTGCCCATGTGTTGTGGTTTCAGGACACCGTGTGATTTGAGGTTCAGACGGATGGACAGACAGACCCATAGTCTGTTTCCTTGGCCCTCCGTGTGTGTGCCACTGATTCAACTGGGCATAGAGTTGCATTGGAAAGGGAAGTTTTCAGGGTGCATCCTCACACACAGCACTGCTGTTGAAGTCCACAAGTGACCAGGGCTTTCCCCAGCTGCTGGAAGCAGCCTTTTTGCCTGGAACCAGAATTCCTCTGCCTCTTCTGTGAATATAATACTGAGATTGGGCAGTTTCTGTGCTTTGTCTACATGGATCCTCCTCCCAGCTTGCCCCAATGTGCCCTTGCCTGTAGGGTGGTAATGAGAGCCTCGATATGCTGACTTTCCCAAACTATTGTTTGGAAACTGTAACCAAAGTTGCTCTTTCCTCATTAGAATAGCCTTTGTCAGAGCATCTTTAATCAATGGGCTCCCAAGAGACAGCGTTTTTAGAACTTCTTTTTATACCTCCTCTTGGAAGTTCTTTGCACTGCACCTTGTGAAGAAACTAATGAGATGCTGTGAGAGTTCGGGCTACCGTTAATTAGAAGAGGTCTGAGGAAGAAGTACTGCACATATATTAACTTTATCTTGGCTCACATGTCTCCTCTCCCCCTCTCTCTCTTCTTTCCAGGTTGCACAAACAGCAGATGGCTTGGATGCTGACCTCTGGAAAGATGGCTTATTTAAATCCAAGGTCACACGATACCTGTGCTTCACGAGATCGTTTTCAAAAGAAAATGTAAGTCCGTTTGCTGAGTGTCTCTATGATTTGCATCTGTGCCTGGCATGCTCTTACCCATAAGATAATTCATTTTATGGAGCCAATTATAATTCAGGCAGGCACTTCACTGAGTTTGGGTGAGTCAGGAGGCAAACTGCAGCGGCAGGATATTTGCATTTTGTCTGTTCTTCATGGAAAGAAATTGCTGGCAAAATCTGCAATAAAAGCTGCAGAAAAGGGAACACTTGCATTTCAGAAACCCCCTCACTTTAGTGTTTCCTGTTTTAGCACTGGGTGCTGCGTGCTCATGATGCTGATGGATTTCTAACTCTACCTAGAGAAGCAAATGCTGCAGGGAATGTTGGTGAAGGAAATAGTAGTTTCTGAATCCTGGGGCATCATAGATACTTTCTTGCAGGATTAGCTTCCCCTTCTTTGTTGTTTTTGGTGCTGATTCTTGCAAATTTGCCCATGTTGTACATACCGTGTTCTTGTGATCTTCTAGTGTGGCTATTAAGCATCTGTTAATTTCTGATTAGTGGTGGTCGTCTGCCCACATCTTCTGTAGAGGAGAGGTGACCATATGCAATGAGGTCCCGATGCCTTCTACAGTGGTTTTGGTTGAGGCTAGTGTGAAAACTTCCCCTTTTGTGGAGGAACTGTTTAATTCCACAATGAATGCACTCCATCTAGTGGGTAGTCCTGCTTTTTGTCGTGTTTTGGATATTCACAGTGACTCAGTTGTCAGGCTATGGAGATACCATTTTGTACCTGTGCTTTCAGTGACAACAGGAACAGAAAAGCGACTGCGACCTCAGAGGTTGATCATTGGTCCTGACAGAAAGGCTGGGGGCTGCCAATTTCCAGCATTTGACCTTTATTCCATCCGCTTCCCTGCCTGCCTCTACATTAAAATAAAGCTTCAGAGCTATGGGAAATATCGCTTCCTGGGGTAGATGGACAATAATTGTGCTTCTCATCCTGGAGTACCTGCACTAGCAGGAGTAACAGCCCCAGAATATGCAGGGAGGGCATTAAACAGAAAGGTTAACGGTGATTTGAGTATTCGGTTTGTCTGTGGCTACCTTAAATGTGAGGTTGTCAGAAATCATTATAGGTAGTAGCAACTGCTGGCTACCAGAGAGTGTAAATACCCTCAGTTGGTGCCTGTTGGGCTTTTGGCATGAATCCTCTGCTCGGCACGGTTTGGGAATACATTCCTCATATTGATGAGGAGTGAATTAAAGTGAGTGTATGGGGAAGACTGCCGGTCCCAGCTGCCCCTCAGATACCTGGCTTATAACGGAGACAGTTTGTAGTGTCTTTTTATCAGAACCATCGTTCTTAACAGCTTACAGTATTTGACAGATAAGGACATTGCTGGTATTTGAGTGTCATGGTGAGGAGGCCCCGAATGGTGCATCTTGCAAACGGGGAGGCTTTCTGCCCTTTTCTCCTGTGTTTGTGGCAGAGCACTGATGCTGACTCCCAGTGTTGCAGCAACTAACAAACTTAACAGGGGTCATCTCTCCTACCTGTCTGCTGTTGATGGAGGAATGATCAGCTGAAAGTTGCACATTGATGTAACACAGCCAGACAGTTTGGATAAATAAAACATGAAAGATGAATCGGCAGCGACCACTTCATCTACCATTTGTTGTGCCAGGACCATGGTAACTGATATACTCGGGCTTCACAGCATCCAGCATTGCTGGCTCTGAGATGCCCTGGCCAAAGTGGGATGGATGCATGCGGGTGGCCTTCCTCATGAGGAGTTGACCGTGAAACGCAGAACCTCCAAAAAATAAACTCAGACCTGATCTCCCCTTATTTCAGAGGCTGCAAATTTAAATATTTTTTAAAATAGCTCAGTGTAATAATCACAGGAGAGGTTTGCCTGAAATACTCTGCCAGATAAAAACTAAAGGAGACTCTTATCGATCAGTAACAGTAAAAAACACTGACATGGTTTGATGGCTTAGGATGAAATTTTAATTGTTCTGTATTGCATTTCTGTTTATAAAGGCTGTGCAGTAACTAAAGTGTGTTTTTCTCCCATACGTGAATCCAGATTATTGGCAGGAGTGCTGGCTTTAATGAGAACTGCAAAGAAAATCTGGTCTCTAAACAATTGTGGAGGCTGTCATTCTGAATTGTGTTTTGAGCTCTTCAAGCCTTGATTAATAGGACGAGGCATCAGTTCAGAATTCATATGGACTCCAAATGAAGTTCCCTGTTCCAAATGGCCTGCTCTTCTGGAGTGTGCCTGTATTTGGAGCTAGAACCATGTCTGTTCAGTACTAATTAGCTAATGCATGTAATAACTTTGGCTGTGTCTGCTTGAACCATCTTCCTGTAATGCTTTCTGCTGTTACTGTCACAGAAATGTCATGTCGCTATTGTAGGTGTAGAGTGTGTGAGAACTAAGGTGACCTGCTTAGTGGGTGAGGTAGCAGAGGTAATACTTTGAACTGCTGTGTTTCCAAAGGGAAGAATTTGGTTGTGCTTCTGAGGATCCAGGAGTATGGCAGTGGATGAGGTGTAAGAATCTATAAATGCTGACAGTTGTCCAGTATCTCCTAGTCAATTGTCACACAGTTCCTGCAGAGGAGGCAGTTGCAAGTGTTGGATTGCAGCTTACCATTTTTAAAGGTGGTGGTCAGATGCAATGACAGTGTCTTGGGGTTCAGCAGGTGAGAAAACCTGGGTTTGAATTTGGTGACATTGTCATAGTTAACTGTTGTTTTTTCTCTCTCCAAAGAGTCATTTAGGCAATGTCTTGGTTGATATGAAGCTCATTGATATCAAGGACACTTTACCGGTGGGCTTCATTCCCATCCAGGAGACCTCTGATACACGTAAGTTGACATCTGTTTTTCAGTCCCATGTTTTGGGAGCAGCCTCTCCACCAGTGCCTGTGTGGGCAGCGGTGTCCCAGGCAGAGGGATGCTCTCAGCATTGCTGTGCTCTGGAGTTACATGTGCATGTTTGGGGCAGCTCTGGACTGCAGTGGAACAGCCTTCCATTTTCCTGTACTCTTCCAGGTTTCTTAACACTGCTTCCTGGCTGTTACCAGCATGCTTGCTAGAGCAGGAGGGAGTAATTCATGTTCTCATTTTGTGAGTGTGGGCTAGGCCTAGTGGGAGCAGAGCTGCTGTCCTGAGGCATGTTCACAAATGCATACCAAAGGGAAGGGCATGTGCTTGTGGTGCAGGATTCATGCATGGCAGCTTTGCATAACTGAAGGAAAACGTCCTGTGAGGTAGTGCTGAGGTAGTACTGAGAGAAGGCGCAAATGGAGCATCCAGGGAAAATACCATCCTCATTTCTACAAGACAGAAGTCACTTTGCTGCAGCGTTTAAGCCAGCAGCTCCCAAACAGTGTATTCGGATCCTTGTGGCAGCAGCAGCTGGGGCCACGTCTGGTCGCAGCACTCTGCTCTGGAGCAGCATCAGGTATTTTGGGCCTCCAGTGTGGAGGATGGGGATGAGCCCCATGGGAGCTGAGTGTGGAAGGGCTGCAGGACACCATGTGCTGATACAGCTACTGCTCAGGAGCAGTGTTGGTACCAGGCTCATCAGTAGTGAAATCCAGTGTAGTTACGAGTAGAAAGGAGTTCTTGCTTTGCAGGGTTTCATTCATCTGCGTCTGTAGCAGATGAGGATGGTTTTTCAGTCACTATCGACCTGGTTCTGATTTGAACCTATGACCTAGAAGTGAAAGGCTCTGCAGCCCATTTCCCATTCTCCTGGCTCATCCCTTTTCCCTGGAGAATTCCTGGGCACATGCAAGTTGGGGAAGAGTCACAGGTTTATCCTGCTCTCTCTTGGGAGTGTTAGACACTTACCATGAGCTGCTGTAACTTTTGTGAAAGTCCTGGTGAAAAGGTGGAAGGGGACTTCAGAATTAATTTAAATGCATTAGATGGCAACCCAGACCATCTTCAAAGCAGAGGCCCTGTCTGTATTAATGAAGCAGTGCATATCCCTGCTTCCATTAGCATGAATGAACACATTTCCATTGACTGTTTATAATATGTTTACGTAAAATTAACTCTAGTTAAGCATGTGTAATTAATGAATCCAGCTCCTAAACCAAGTTTGCTGCAGACTGCAGACTCTAGCCAAGTGTGAAAGAGACCAAAGACAAAAGCAGTCAGCTCTGTACTTCTGTGAAAGTCAAATGAGAGACACTGATTCTGTTCAGGGTTACATGTTTCTGTGCTCTTGCTCTAAGTGACAGTTGACTCGTAGTAAATACATTAAATACATTACTCCTTACTAGGTTCTGAGAAAATTTCCAGGTGTGGAAGTCTTAATCCCTGGGCTCCCAAAATCAGTTTTAGCACTTCAAATAAAAGCCCCAGTTTTTCAGAGCAGGAGAGACTAGACTTTAGGGATCCAGGTATTTAGCATCTCTAAAAAGCAGCATGGGAAGTGAAAAGCTGCATGCACAGATGCTGTATGGTGACACACCTCTCACTGGCTGTACATTTGTTGGTGCTGGTGTGACAGCAGATTTCAGAGGCTGGGATGGATTGCTTTCTCCAAGGTGTGGATTACAAGACAGGAGGAGCCTACAGAGACAGGGCTGCTTGCCATCTGTCGAAGTGAGAGCACATTTTTAAGCTGGAGGATATTTATTCATGTTAACCTGAAGGGTTTTTATTTTGCAGGCACTTGTTTGTAGTTGTTGGTTGGTTCCAGATTTTCATTCAGTGTGTGCACTTTAGATTTTCAGCTTATCCATAGGCTTCTGTTGTGTCTTTTAAGTGCCTGCATTCACAAATAGAAACCTCACCTTGCTCACGTTGAGACTCTCGAGGGTGAGATAAAGCAGTGGTTTCCAAGCACCACAGATCTGTCTGTGTGCCAGTGCCACCCATTGTCATGCGACTGACCCGTAGCTGGATGCGGATTGTATCTGTGTGCAGACAGCATGCATATACATGAATTCATTATACAGATAAGCCTTAACTCTGATGGCTTGAGTTTTTCTTGATGGATAACATGGAAACAAGTGAAATTGTTCTGTGATGCTTGGCAGGAAAGGGCCATGCAGCAGATTCATCCACCCTCTGAACACAGGTCAGTGCAGCACAGTTGCTCCGTAGGAGGTCCTAGCAATTACTGCTTTGTAAATCTGGTTTATCCCCATGAAAATTCCAGGGCAGAGTATCATTTCAGTGCTAGCTGACTGAGTCAGGAGAGGTCACTGACACATAGGATGTGTGAGACTTGGGCAGACAGCTTTTACTGAGGGCCACTCTATGTGGTGGTCTGTTTTCCTGCCTGCTGCTCCTCTTTGGTTGGCTGTTTGGAAGCACTTGGCAGAATAAACTGACCAGTTGTGTCAGCAACTTCCAGGTGTGTTCCTAGAGGCAGTGCTTGTGGGAGGAATATTTAGACACGACTATGCAGGCCAGTAAGGCAAACATTACTATGGAAAGAGAAAGTGAATGTGAGAAGTATGTGGAAGTGGAAAAATCACCTGCCGTTTCTGTTCTGCGGTGCCGTGGCATACGTGATGTCTTATCTTCTCTGCAGAGGGTAGTAGGGAGTATTGGTTTATCACAATGCCTAATAACAAATCTCACACAGTGTACAGACTGCTCCTGATAGAAGATTTCTCCAGCCACTGAATGGCACTACACTGTCTGGTTTGCTGACGTATGTCTGTTCTTTGCTCCAGTTCCTGCCATAATTATCTCCCTAATATCTGGAGAGACAATAAATAACATTTATACTCTAATCTTGCATAAAAAAATACCCCATGTCCTGGGTTGTTTTTGCAGAAGAAACAGCTTTCAGGAAGAAGAGGCTGTGCATTAAATTCATCCCTCGAGATTCTACAGAGGCAGCGATCTGTGATATCCGAATCCTGGGTAGATCTAAACAGGCCCCTCCTCAGTACACCTTCATAGGGTATGTATCCCTCACTCCAGGAGATGTCCTAAATTCAATTGTACCAAGGCTAAGCACCGTGTTTTCCTGTAATTACTAAGTACTAGTTTGTAAGAGCTGAAGCTTGTTATTAGAAGAGTTTACATAAGTACAAGTGTTACTTGATTTGATGTAGGCATTAACTAACACCTTCCCCCCTTTTTCCCCCCTATTAGGCTGGTTCTCACTAAACAAGGTGTTCGTGGAGCATGTCAGTGCTTCATACTTATGCATACTTGTGTGTGTCATTTGCTAGTGGCATTAATGTCTTCTGTGTTGCTTGCACAGGGAGTTGAACAACATGGGCATTTGGTACCGGATGGGCAGAGTTCCACGCAACCATGAGCCTGCGCAGCCTGAAACTCCTCCTTCACAAGCACCATCTTCAACACCCGCTCCTAACCTGCCAAGGTAAGTTTTCTGCTTTCCAGCCTCTTCTACTTGATGCTGCATGATGTATTGTTACTAACCTTGCCTGATGGAATCAAGGTTCCACATCAATATGAATGGTTACATGGTATGATCTGATAATGAGGGAATGTGTCATTGTTTCAAGTATTTGCCCGATGGAAGTTCCTTTGGCTGTCATTGTACAAAGACATACAAGTGAAGGAGTCAGAAGAAAGAAAAAGCCTGCAGAGCAAGGGAAATGGCCGACTGCACCTTTTCTTTGCTTTAAACTGTGTGGAACGTTACAGTTTCCAACAAGTATGTGTGAGTCATCCGTAGAGGGTAGCCCAGAGAGTAGCCAAGCTGATTTCCCTGCTTGACCGAAGGGAGGGAGAAGCATTCATACAGATTTTAATGTACAGGGAGACAATTCTGCTCATTCTTCAGAATCAGTGCACTCATAGTTTGAAGTACTGGCCCTGTTTTGTCTTTTCTTGGACCTGGCTACAGTGCTGCAGACTTGCAGCTGCCACTGAGCATGCAGAGCAGGCTGCTTATCTGACAGGAGCCATGCTTCTGGCCAGATGCTGGCATAGTGTCTGTCCAGGTTGTTTTCCCTGTGTTATAATGTATGTGTGTGTGTGTATAAATGTATGCACTTGTGTGTATACTTGCATATAACAGTAGCTGTGTATTGACAGCTTACTTGCTGAATTTCTCAGGGCAAAATAGAGTGTTGTTAAGCAACAAACCAACCCAGACAGAGGTTAAACTGAGTTCTTTATGCTCCTGGCTTTTGCTATGAAAGCACAGCATCTAGAGTGAGATGGGCTCTTCCTGATGAGGCTCACTCACTGAACTCTGGGGCTGGGTTATTGCCAGGGGGTAGCACATTCTCTATGGTCCCTTTGGGCCTTTGCTTAATTAAGTGAACACGTATTTTTGCACTAAGCATGGGGTATACTGCAGATACATTTACAGTATTACAATAACTGTTAAGAGCTAGAATTACAAAGGAGACTGCAGAGGGAAATTCCCAGGGGATTGGTTCCTATGTAAAAGTCACTGTATCATATAGGTGATACCTCTGTCCTTCAGAGTCTTGATTTACAGGTCATTTCAGAGAGTGATGCTTGAACTGCTCTGAACTGTTCTCAGAAAAGCTGTTGGGTGTCTTTGAAGGCAGGTGTGTACACTTGAGCCTTCACCCATGACCCAGACTTAAATCTGCTGTCTTGTGGTGGCTGTTCAAGCTCTCCAAAGTATTTGGGCATTTCTTTCACTGAGAGTTTTATTCAGTCGCTGCCATGCTGTGGCATGCTGCTAGCTGTCCTATACTGTCAGGTGTGCTGCAGGCAGGGATGCTGTCTTGCCTCTAAGAGATGAACAGCCAGCAGTCTTTTGGAGATTTCAGGCTGTCCCACTGGGAGCTGATAACGTTGTTTTGAAGCTCCACTGGGCATAAAGCTACATGCTGGCACAGGGCATGCGACATCAGAGAAAAAGATGTCTTGCTTTTTAGAGCACAGATCTTCATTTTCTGTCTGCAAGAAATTCCTGCCTGGGCAGATTTCCACAATAAAGAGAAAAAATTATCATAGCAAGAGAATGTCAATGGAAGTGCTTAATCACTAAGTGTGGAAGGGTCACTTTATGGCTGAGCAGGGAAGGCTGTTGAGCAGTGTCAGAGCTATTGGGAACAGGGCCAAAATTAGAGCTCAGAGCATCGGCGACAGCCTGAAAAGAAGTGTTTACAAGGCTTATATATTTTATAACCTCTTGTTGTACAGTTTATGGTTTACAATGGCTGCAAGGAAATTGGATCAGTTTTGTTTTACTTGCCAAATAAAGCAAATGTCAAAATAGTCAATATAAAATGTATTCTAATTTGGCTGAGTTAAACCAGCCAGTATGCAGTGGAATAATTGAATGTTACATTAATGCCTCCTAGTAAAAACCACCTGTCTGTAGCCAGCTCCACTCTCATGCCCCATGCGTGATTTACAGGTAACTTTTACACCACCAGCCTGATCATTCAAAGCATCTTTCATGTCTGTTTTTTTTTCACTCTGATTATTTATTATCCAATATATTTTTTAAGAAATAGAAATGTATATAAAAATGTATCTTGCAAATATTTCATTATTATGGGGAACACATACGACTTGGAAGCCTTTCCTAATACTTTATCAGCAATGTGGTAAGTTACTCAACACTTAATGTTGGTGGAAGATTGTAGTCACAAGTAACCTCTTATTTTTACGTCACCATAGAGAGATGAGATTATACTAGTAGGCAGTTTGTTGTTTTATTCCATGTGGATATATCCTGACAGGAACAGCAGGGAGATATTCTGATGCTGCTGTGAGTGTTAAGAGGAAATCCATGAGCAGTGCTGAATAGGCTGGTCAAATATTTAAGCTGTTCAGTTGCTGTCTGGCATTATAAAATAATTTTAAATCAAGAGGGCATGCTTGGGTGCTTCAGAACAATTGCTAGCATGGGATATAAACTAAACCAGTAAAACACACCAGTGAGCTTCTGCACAGCAAAACCTTCCTAAATGGAAGGACTTTTTACTGTGGGAGATGTTTATTTCTGCTCCAGCTGTGTTTCCTCCTCTGATCCATGATGTAAGTTACTGATGGCGGTGGATGGCAGCACATCAGAGTTCTGTCATGTGTCATAGGTTTGACCTCCACAGCTTGCTGCACATCGGCAGTGCTGCTTCCACCGCTTGTGCTGCAGGGTTATGGCTCGCAGTCAGAACTGCACAAGGGGAGGCTTTGTCTGATATCCATGCTGGACTGCATATGTTATTTTTCAGCCATTTCTTCTCCTTGGTGTTTCCTACTGCAGGCATCTGGCTTAATGGTCTCTAATGGCAGCCCTTGCACATTCCAGTGAGGATGGCATGCTGTGCTGTGGAGCACAACTGTGCCATTGCGCAAGGCATCAAGCTGCTTTACTGTCTTTTCTCTCCAAATTCTGTGACAGCTTCTTGGCAGTAATGGCAGCCTGGAGAAATGCACTTCCAGTTTCCCATCCTAGAAGGCTGCTACGAAAGAACTGATTTTGTTGACTTGAGTCATCAGTGGGAGTTCACTGTAACTTTCCTCAGAATCTCTGCTCTGTGTTCAAGGCTTGCACTCACCGGTGCTACACAGTGACATCCCTTTGGGGAGCAGGAAGGTAATCCCCCCCACAAAAGAGGTGCTAGTGATGGGTAACTCACCTGACCTTTTGCTTTTGCTTCACACAGCCTGTGGATTGGCTGTCACCAGTGCACAGGCTGGGGACTTGGAGAAAAATGCATGTTACAAGCATATGAGCAATGTCTTGGGGCTCAGCCCTCCATGCCTCAAGCTCTCTTAGAGTAGGATTTGTGTGTGATGTTCTCTTCCTGAGTCCAGTTCCAGCCTTTGGGAGCAAGTCCCCACTTCTGTGTATGCACACAGAGCCAACCTTGAACTACTTTGCCTTGTGGCTGCCTGTGGGATGTCTCCATCACGGCCATGGTGCTCTATGAGCCCACGTAGCCTGTGTGGTTTTACATCCCTTCCCAAGGTGCTGCAGGAGTCTCCAGCACCGTTGCTCAAACAGCCCTCTCACAATTTGTCAGCTGCAAGCAAGATGTCAGTCAGTGCTGCTGAAGTGTGTTTTACAGTGACAGACATAATTGCACTTAACTTTTTGCGTGGATGTTATCAATCTGTGACGGATACTTTGGGAAATGGAGCACTCTGATTGCAGATAATGTGTCACAGGCGTTTAATCTTCCTTGCAGGGAGACTGGGATTCAGTCACAACTTTTACTTGTTGATGTCAGGTTTTGAAAATGTAGATTCGTGCTGACCCTGGGAATTGTTCAGTCATTTACTTTGCAGGGCTGTCATCTGAAAGGTTAATGGCTTACCAGGGAGAGGGAAGATCTTGCTGCAATCCGCCTGCATTCGTATCATGCACTAGCATGGCTGAGCGCTCAGTGTTCAGGTTCAAAAGGGCAGAACTCCTCCAGGTGCCTTCCTGGGATGCCTGTGGCATGTCTCTGTGGCTGTTCTAGTTGAGACCACAAGGGAGAGGGCAGGACCCTCCTGGGGCAGCTGTAGGTCTCAGTGGGGCTTACAGTGCCTGCTGCCACCCAGGAGGGTCACTCATGCTCTGGACTGACCATAAAGGTGCATGGGTGAGCAAAACAGTGTTGACCCTGAATGCTGCATCTCCAAGCAAGCCTGGTGACCAGGAGAGGTGGCAGAGCTGGTGGAATGGCTGGCCTGGCCAGGAGATTCCAGTAGCATTGGAGATGCTGTTCCCTGGTTGGGAACCCTGAGCGGCTCAGTTGGGTTTCTCACACTAGGTGCTCCTGGCACAGCCAGGCACAAGCCATCGTGGGCACTGACTGAGGTGCCCCTGAAGAAGAAGAGGCACCAGACCTGAGGACCCAGCGTACATCTTCTTGTGCTTGTAATTCCTCCCTGATCCACATGGCTAATAAGCTGCAGAAGTGCTGCAGCTCAAACCTCTTCATATGTGAGCCTGAGCAGGGCTGGCAGAATCCCTTTCTGTGCAATCAGTCTGTGCCACCAGGTGCTCAGGCCTTGAAATCCTGATCTGGCAGGAGCATTGCACCAGGGAAGTGCTGCTCTGGTTTTGATAAGCAGGTAACAATTGTCCTACTTAAACCCCTGAAATAAGAGCAGGATGTGTAAATTTTCTTCTTGTGCTCCCAATTACCTTTTAAATAGTTAAACTGCTCCCCCTTAGAAAAGGGAAATACTTTGCTCCTGTTTTCTGTTCCCGGTGGAGCTTAATGTTGAGGAATGTAAGAATTTCCTTTCTAGGCAGGGAAGTCTGATTTTTCAAATTGATTTATTAATGGTGTTTGAACTTGGTCATGTAAGCATGGAAAGTGATCAGTGTGTGGCTTTCTGCTGGAGGCTGATGATGTGCAATAGGTGGCAGCTAATAAAGCAGCACCAAGCCTGCGTGGTGGAGACCTGAACTTGGCCTGATGGTGAGCC